CCCCCCCCACCACCACCACCAGCCTCCTCGCCACTGCCGCTCTCTCATCGACCCCGCTCTGCTTTGTATTCCAATTAACTGGACAGAGGGAGCGGCAGCGGCGTGCAGGATCACAAGCTCCGGCAGACACGTTCCCCTGGCTTCCTTCCAGTCTCTCAAACCCACCACTCTCGATAGCGCTTCCCTTTCCCCTTCCCGTCTCCTTCCACTCCTGACAAGGGCCAGTTGTTTCAGGGGGATAATTCATAGATTCTTCTTTAACAACTGCCCCTAGGGACTATGTCTTGGTAATGAAAAATAGCTCCCTCTCACACATTCATATATCACATGTAATAGAGGCGCGTGATCGCTCAGTCGAGTCAACGCACTGCCTGCTGTAACTGCTTCCCCTAACAGACACCTCAAATAATGCTGAATTAATATTTTGAAATGGCTCATATATCCTAACATAATACAATTTGAATGATTCTCTATTCAATGCTCTCAGGGCTAACATTGATTTGAGTACAAGCTGAGGTAACCCCCCCCCCCCCCCCTCCCAACCTACCACCGTGAGTCAGTCAGGCAGTGTGAGTGAAGGTTGTAGATTTAGCTCAACACGTTTGCTCCTCCGTCTTTTGTGTCCTCAATCTATCATCACTTTTTACCTCGCTGCCACCGAGGCCCCCCCCCCTCCAACACTGATGTATGTTTGAGCAGTGGGTGGGTTGAGAACACAGTGACTCTGAGGAAATCCGAAAAGTAAACTGACTCTTTTTATCTCCTCCAGCGACACAAACATTTACAACAGACCCTTAAGATTCAGGCCAAACACCTTTTTTTTTTTCAGTACAGCTTTGAAAATGCTGCGACATGTTTGCATGAGCACCAACTTGAGATGTTTGCCATTGGAAAAGGTGACAGCTATTCTTATCAAGTGATTAATGTCGGGGGTTTAGAGAAAAATAGGATCTGCAACTTGTGCCCTGTGCTAATTCCTTGTAAAGGAAAACCTCAAACGTGCAAAATCGTTTTCTAAAACAAAGCTAAAGAGCCAGAAAGACAGGCATGGGTGCTTCACTATTTGTCCCTCTGGACTACCCTATCTTGAGAATGCAATGTGTGTGTGTTTGCAGGAAAGGATACACACACACACACGAAACACACACCCTTCATGCCCCGAGGATCCTCCTGACTCTTTCCCCTGGCAGATCAGAGAGACCCGCTGTCCCTCCCCACACCGCATTGCAAATGAAAAGGAATGCGCTGATAAAAGGCCAGATCCTAGAGATGAGAGGGCAGGAGGAGGACAGAGGCAGCGAATGCTAAAGGTGGGGGGGGTGGCCTCTTGGGGAGATGAGAGGTGGCGGAGGAGTCAGTGTTGGTAGTAGTGGGAGATCATAGCCTTGCTCCCCCTCAGCGGCGTTTGATACAGAGCTTTTGTCGCTCTTTCAGCGGCGCATTGTTGGGTGGTGTAATCCCCGTCGGATTACAAAGGGCTTCCCTTTTCATATGGGGCTGGCCCAGCAGGCAGGTGGCTGCGGCTCTGTGGAGCTGTCAAGGGGAGGGAACCTCTTTTCCAGGGGAGGGGACCCCAGTTCCTCTTACCTTCACAGGGGCTTTTTGCTGGGAGGCCAGTCAGGCGCAGGTCAACGCGGGGGCAATTCTGACATGAGCTTCAACTCGCCCTGACCCTGTGGCTTCCTGCAGAGAGGTGACAGGGAAGGACACCATCATGAGACACTCATCAACATGAAATACTGAAAATTATTAATATCCGATGATGCGCTGAGAGGAAACTGCTGCCAATACTGCTGTTTACCTCCCTTGTGGGAAAATAGAGTTTTTTTTAACATCGAAAAAAGCAACAGAGCTGCAACAATTTTGATAATCAATATATGGTTTCATCATTTTTTTAAGTATATGATGGTTCCACTTTCTCAAACGTGCCATTATGATAATATTAAATTCACAGGTTTTGGACATGGGTCGAGAGATTATCACAGTTTTCTGAACAAATGATTAAAATAGAAAATAACTGGCAGATGATTCAATAATGAGAATAAATATTAGCAGCAATCCCAAACAGCAAAATCACTTTTTTGGACTTTAATATAAGAGAAGATACAAGATCTTTGTGACTGGCTGACACAAACAGCTTCTCTATTATTAATTACAACTAGGATGTGATGCAAAATGCTGCATTCCTGTTGAATTACTCTGTGTTAGCCTGTGAAGTGACAGATTATGTGTGTGTGTCTGTGTGATGTTGCCTGGGATATGAAATAATTATCTCGTGAGCTTGAACACACACTACATATTTCAAAACGGAGGACAAACATAAGACAAGTCCAACACAGTCCTGATTGATATCTGGTGTATGCTGTCGATGTGAGCGGTGGCTGATTGAGCTTTGGTTATTTGATGACTTTCCTTGTCGTGTCTCTGTAATACAGGATCAATAAGGCGATAGAGAGGCCCACCACTATTTCTATTAGTATCAGTGCCTCCACCGCTGCCTCGTCCTCACATGTCAGCTGTGTATGTAAACGCTCAGGTCCGAACCACTGCTGTTCCCCCTCTGCTGCTAATATAAACCATCCATCCAAGACCTGTCACATATAGCGAGGGACCAATTTAGCCTCGCTGCACTCGCGCGTTGTCTCAGAAATATCCTAATCAGTTTTTCAGCTTCAGTCAAAGACCCATCAAAGTGGTGAATACTGTAAATTAAACAGTTAAAGGGAGAATTTTTTCAGACCTAATTTGACTAGATGTGCTATTCAGGGTGAAGATAACACTCAACCATTTAAAGTGCTGAAACATCACCTGCATCCCTGCTGATCTTTATTTTATAATGTTTAAACACAAGGCAGCTTTACCTCAATGGATATCAGCATAAAGGATTTGTGTTAATTCACTAGAACTTTGATTTACAAAAACACAAATGCTGCAAAAACATACGCAGTGTAAAATGGAATGAAATAAAAATAAAGACATTTTAATTAACATTTTATGTAACAGAACTGTGATTTACCATTTTCCCACATCATTATCTTAGGGGGACATTTTGAGTACTTGAACGCAGCGCCGTTCAAAGGTCAATCCACTATCAAATGTAAAATAAAAACAGAATTAATTAAAAACTAATAACACCTACGTTGCTCGCACAAGACGTGGAAACTCATAGCCTGAACTAAAATTAAATACAAATCGAATTTTGTTGTTGCGTGTGCTCTGATTTCCGATTTTCAACTGCATTAACCGACAGTGACATAGCGAGTGCTTGAACGCAGCGCCTGCACAAAACAACCCAGCGAGCGTAAAATAAAAACACAATTTGTAAGAAACGATTCATACATTATTTACCGGAGTCATGGGAAATCATAGAACAAGTAAATAAATAAAAATGATTAAAAGAATGCCAACCGTTGTTTCTGCCTGTATTCTGATTTCCGATTTTACAACTTCATTATCCGACAGGAACTTAGCGAGTACCTGAATGCATCGCAAACGTAGACACAGCGTAAACTCAAAATAAAACTAAAATGCACGTTGGTTTTTTTTAACGTGGTGAAAAACACTCAGGATAAAAACACTTAAACATTTTAAAAGACAGTTTCTACCATCGTAGAAAAACCAACACACATCGCTGGAAGTCTGATTGACGATTTGTCAACATCATGTATGTGGACGGAGGATGTGAGTCCGTGAACACAACATTCATACAGATGTGTGTGTGGGTGGGGGGGGCAGTGGTTTAGTTTCGTGTTTAATCAAACTTAGTTGAACAGATTTAAACTCGAGCTCCACGTGGAGCAGAAGTGAACTTACTCAGAAACACTGTCGAGAGCGAGTTAGCTCAACAAGCTAGCTAGTGAACGGCGCCAGGTGATAGACGGGTCCAGGTGAGCGCGACACTCCCGCGGACACGCGGGGGAAAAACATGGAGGAGGTTTAATGGAGGTTTATCATTTCAGGGGTACGTTTCATTAGCTAGCCGACGGCTCTGCTCTCCTCTCGGTGAACAGCTAACGACCTCCTCCTCCTCCTCCGTCCAACCATGTTGGATCTACAGGTGAACGACCCGATCATCCAGGTGAGTCAGGTGATATGGAACAAAATGGTGGATAGAAACCACGTGGTCTTCAGTCGCTGTCCGCGCATGTCCCTGTTGCTTCTGGTGAACGTGAGCGATGATTTCAGAGCTTTAAATTTCTCTACCCTTGAATTATTTAGTCGAATGAATGAGCCGTGCTGTGTGACACCATGTTGGGGAATGATTTAATGCTAAAACTGGATTCAGCCCACAAACAGGCTGTTAATTAGTGTCTCCGCAAAACTGGGTCACTCATAAACACTCCAGTGTTCCCAGACTAATTCTGAATTCAGTCTGTCCAGGTAGAGCTTCGTGTGATCAGTCCCCAAACTCCAATTCATTAACAAAACAATCTCTTTAAGAAGTTTCCTGGGAACAACCAAACAGTTCAGTGGTTTCACTTCCAGTAGTTTCATGGTTGAGACATAAAAAAACATCATATCCTCACATTGGTGAAGCTGGAAGAATCACAGTTTAAGAAATAATCTAAAAAGATTATTCAGTTTATAGGTCCAGAGTGTAAGATTTAGGTGAAAGGGATCTATTGGCAGAAATTGAATGTAGAATAATTCTCATGATGTTTTCACTTGTTCATTTCATCTAAATTGTATGAATTGTAGTTTTCTTTACCTCAGAAAAGGCCGTTTATATTTAAACACTAAACACCTTTTGAGTTTTTACGACAATTAAAGTTTACCACAGTTTCTTTTTCATGTTTGGAAGGAGAGGGTGAGGATGAGGGCTGTTCAGCTGCAACATGCAACTTCAACACTAGATATCACAAAATTCTACACACTGAACCTTTGAGTACTTTTCTGGTGATTGACTAATTAATTAATTGACCTATTGTTGCAGCATCAGCTGGGTCCCCTAAGAGTAATCCCATTATGTTGAGAAGTATTTATTCTCGTTTTTTAAATATGGTTTTAACAAAAAAAAAAATACCATTTGTGTTCACACAAGTCAAAGCACGATCAGACAGACAGTTTTTTCAGCAGCAGCCACCAGTTTTCAGTTCTCTGAGTCACCACATACGCCTACGTGGTCTTTAAATGTGTTTTTTTGCTTCTGCAGACTGTTTAACCTCGTTATTATCAAGTTGTTTTTCTGTCTTTCATTGCTGCTCAAAGGAAGCCGGTGTGGAGGATCATGGCCCCCACTCGGGCTTTCTGAACGGCGTTGTTATTGTTTCAGGGTTATATCAATGTCAGTCAAATCCTGTCCTCAGCCTCGTGGAGAAACCAGACTGCACAGGAAGTCTTTGCACCTGCTCCACCCCGGTTTGTGCAAATCGAGGTGCATGCACGGAAGTCATGTTTCAGAGCAAAAATACCCAGGTGGCTCGATGCTGTGACAGTGTGTGCGGATGTGTCTGTGTGCATGCCTGGATTTTGCTTCTGCTACTGGAGCTGTAACATTATGATAGAGGCTGGGTTTGCATAGGCTGCCTTGTTCGGAGCGAAGGGGCGGGAAAAGTCGGCAAACCAAAGTTACTTGAGTTGGACAGGTGAAAGTCGGGGGATGGGGACAATCCCTGTGGACATTAGGAGACTTTTGGACGGTAATGCCTTTGTTTTTATTGTCATCTTTAAATCCTATTATAACAGAGTGCGCTCAAGGAAATGTACATAGTTGTTCCAAATTCTCCCTGTTTTTACTTAAACAATAAACCTAACTTTCAGCGTCATCATGTCCTTTTCATTGTTTTGTATCCATTAATCTCTTGCTAATAACATTTTCAGGCCTAGTGTCGCTTCAAGTTGAGCAAACAAAACTAAACAGATATCTCAACTTTTGTAATAAACTTTTAAATTGCTCCTGACATGGTGGTGCTGTGGTTTTGACTACATTTGCATGTTCTGTCAGAGCATCCATCAAGGCCTCTGGATGTAGATTTGCATTTATCAGTAAAGGCGTATCGAGATGATTGAATCAGATACGTGATGTGGGCCAGCATGTTTTGCCTACAGCATCATAAAGACAGGCCTCACTTCTTATTCTGACTAAAAGATGAGTTCACAGCTCAGCTTAGTACCACAAAAGAAAAGGTTGATCATAACTGTTTACTCTCTTCACGTATTTGTTCATGTAATGTCTTTGGATTTGTCTTTGAGGGGTCACACAAAGAGCAGCGTTATATCTTGTTTAAATTTCAGAAACATTGTTATAAGCAGAAGAAATAGATAGTTCAGCTGACATGTTGGGAAAAGGTTGGAGATTCAAAATACAATATTTTCCTCAATTTGCAGACTTTACTTATGTGTTTTTAGATTTCATTTGAATGACATGTACAGTACAGGCTGTGCTCTTTTGATTTTGACCTGATATTGCAAAATGAGAACAAATCCAATAACGCATGGATTTATTTTCTTCAAATATACGGACACATAAAACAAGTTGTGATGAAAACCTTCAGGTGGTTGTATTGTACATGTTTATCTCCTGCCATGATAAAGATCTCCCAAGATGGCCCAATTAAATACCTCATCATACCTTCAGCTTGAAAACCTGAAAAACCTTCGAAGTATATTTCATGAATTCCATGTTTTCTGTTTCCTCAGACTGTGAACTGTTTGTAACGGAGATCCTCCAAGATGATGAGCTCAGTGAAACCTCCCGAGAGACACGGAAAGTGTTACTGAACAACTTCAGGGTCGTCCATGTGAGGTAAGAGTTCACCTCCGAGAGCTGCGTTCATCAGCAGGACACAGAAACTGCTTTGCTTGTTGCCACCTCTGCCAATGAGGTTTTGTTTTCCTTGCAGTTAGTCGGTCTGTCAGGATTACAGAAAAACTGCTGAACCAATTTCCGTAAATGTTTGTGGAGCGGCAGGACAAGAAGGGAAAACTGAATTTTAAATAACTTTCTGTAACATGGTGAGATAGGGTGTTCGCCTTGGCGGAGGTGTGCAATCTCCAAGCATTTCATTACACCATTATCCAACTTTTGCTTTTAATGTCACACAAAGTCCTTCAATTGTTGCTGTAATGGCTTTAAACACAGTTTGCAAAATTGCATTTGAAGAAAGTAATTTAGTCTAATGGTGTCACCTTCAAGACTCTTTCTTAAATTTCTATTTAAAGTTTATAAAGCTCGAATAATAGAATCATCTTATCAGAGTCTTATCCTTAATTATCAAGCTGGATATCAACAGTTCTTGAAAGCCAAAGAGCTGCAGCTCTTCTGTGATGTGCTCTAGTTTACTCCGGAAACAAACCATCTTCACTCGTGTAGCCTGCACTACTCGATAACAGACTGTTACAGAAAACCTGTGGCTTTGAGGTCTTATGTGCAGGTAACAATTGCTTAATGTGTGAAGCAAAACTGGTGCTGAGTTGTCTGAATGATGAAAGCACAGAAAACGTTGCCGTTGAGTGCAACCTAATCTGATTTATGCTTAATTTGACTTCACAGAAACCCTCAGGAATTCCCCTTCCCACGTGAGTAAAATAACCCTGAACAATCTCTATCAAAGTATTTCATCAACAATTTTTAAATACATGACATTTGCTTTATCTCTCTCTTTCACACACACACACACACATATGTTCACACACACTCAGCGGACTTCAGGGATGACGACGGTTCTGATGACAACCGCAGCTCCAGTCTAGGTCGCTCTGCCCCGTCAGACGACGCCTCGGTCGCCTCTGACTACCAGGACGATGCAGGCCCTGAGTGTAAGTTGACAATAGTCCTGAGTCCCTGTTTTCTTTTTTATTCCGTGTGAAATCTGCAGAGATCTCGGCTCAAAAAATGTCTGTGTCTGCGCGGCAAAGCAGCACTGATGGCTTTTTCCTCACAACATTAGTCTGAAATACAAAGACAATGATTTTGAATTTGAGCAGCATCTTTCAGCTCATACCAGCTAGAAGTGACACGTACATGTTGTCTACACTGTGGAAGGAATTCGGTGTTGACAAAGGAAAAGGTGAAGAGGAGCAGTTGTCTTTGAGATGATGCAGTTTTCACAGAAAAGAACTAAACAAGTGCAGCTTTGACACACGATCCTTCACATCCTCCCGGAACACCTACACCTCGCTGCAGGAGGCGTGGGCAGATGTTTTCGCTGAATGTTGCACGCCCTGTTAATGTGAGACACTGTACCACCTCTGTGAAATTTCCCCTCTTTTCCCGGCCTCCTACCTCTTCACCCTACTCCGGTGACATCATTGGCTCCTCCTCCTCCTCCTCCTCCCTCTCCTCTCCCTCAGAGCCAGTGTGCAGGTAAAGGCCGACCTGTGAGGAGAAGCAGGGCTGCTGGTTCACAAAGGCCCGAATGGTGACCTAGAGCTCCCTCCAGTGGCAGATCCTCTGCTCCTGGTCTGTATCCCTGAGCTGTGGAAGGCATGGAGGCAGCCCACACAGAGAGGAGGCTTTGTAGCTGCAGGCTAATGCAGTGATTGATTGACCCTGAGCCCCTCTATTCTTTCACAACCGGGTTTGAAATACAACACTGTACCTGAGGGGCCATGTGGGTTCTATCCCTCTCGCTCTATATCAATCTTTCTCTCTATCTTCCTTTCTCGGACTTGCCCTCCCTCCCGTTTTGTATTTTTTGTATTTGAGAATCTATGCTCCAGCTAATAGCCCTTGACGTGACATGCTGCAGGTGGGCATTACTGCCTCGACCGCCTCAGGTGCCAATCTCTACCCTGCACACTTTTTAAGCTCGTCTCAGGAGGTAATATTGGAATCATCTGGAATTTCCCACTGCAGTCACTTTGTGTTACCGGTAGTTAATGCCAGCTGGATGTAGTCAAAAACCATCCCCTTATTTGGAAACAGCATAATGAAGTGTTCCGTCCTCTGCCCACAGAAGAGTAACTGCTGCCTTTTACTCCACAACTTTGGAAAAACAAAGTAAACAAGTCACGGCAGATGGCGGCAGCATGGACCCACGAGAAAATAATAAAGGCGAGATTTCCTTCGGGGAAACCAACAAAATCAAACTATAAAATGCTTTAAAAATTCCCCTTTAGGCAATAATGGTAACACGCCCAACTACAAATACGCCGTCTGTTACCGTGGAGCGCGATAGTTGTTTACGCTGTAACATGATGTCGCACCATTGTCGATGTTAAATGTGAGGAATAGCCAATTATAACGCATCCCCCCCCCAGAATGTTCTCCCTCTCCCATTTGCATTTAGCTTTTATTATCACCAACTGATGCCACTTGACACCAAATAACTACACTTAAAACAAAATCACATTTCCGTCGGATCAATAATCATAACATTTGATTCAGTTAGAAAAAACCTACACTTCACTGCGCTGCGGCGTTTTTATTGCTGTGGGACTGCAGCCATGTTAGTGCAGCGAATGGACTGTGTCCTCACCAAAAGGGCACGGGGAGTTCATAGTTCATTCTCTGTTCATTGCCAGTTGAAAGAAACGACTCACACGTTTCTGCCGGGCGGTCTGTTTCAAGGGGAGAGGGAGCGTTTAGGGGGAAAAAATAATGGCGTGACCACTTAATGAAATCAGTGACATTTTATTGAGGAAGAGTTGTTTGTGGTGACGATTTAACATTTTCTTACATTCCTTTTTAATCCAGACATAAGCACTTTACATAGAGGAAATAAAATATAATATTGTTAAAGTTTGACTATAAGGGAAAGATAGAAAATCCCGTCGTTATTGATTGTAATTGTAGTATTTTATTTCGGGCTTACTGTACACAATAGAGACGTTGTGACTCGGAGAATGTATTATCCGTGGTAATCGACTGCCTGCCTCTGCTGCTCTCTGCTCCCTAACCAGAGAGTGAGTGAGTGTGAAGTCGATGGCTTTTTTTACACACGGGAGGAGCCTGTGCCGTTTGATTAGATGCGGTGGCCCGTTGTCTTCAGCGGACTGGGTGACACCAGATTTGTAATGGCTGACAGGAACAGATGGAGCCTCCATTGTTAGCCCGGGTGTCTGCATGGTAATGTGAACTGAGTTTCACCCGCCGACCGCACCGGTGACCTGACCGCGCCTGCAGCCTCACCCCAGCCTCGTCTGCCCCCTTTAGCAGTCTCCACCTCTCTCGCTCCCTCTCTCGGTCTCGTCGCTGTTTCGAGCTCACACTCGTTTCTTTTTCGCTACCCCCCCCCCATCACACACGTACATTCCAATACGATTTGCATTCATAAACAAAAAACTTACACTGCACACAATCTTTTTAACACACTCTTACCACACACACGCACACACACACACCCCCCAGGAGACCCCAGGAGACAGGCGGAGATGTGGGGCTTTTAGTCCTGTCAAGCTGTTTGCAGGTCAAGTTTATGAAGTCGAAATGGCCTGTTTGTTTTTCTTTGATTGGGGTGCACCGCTGGGCGCTCGGGGGTGTTTGCTGGGAAACTGCAGCGATGACAGAGCGCCGCAGGAAGAGCTTTGTTTCAGGAGGCGTGCAAAAGAAGATGGCGCTTTCGAAAAGTCTCTGTCTTCTTCTTTGTGATCGTCGTGGTTCTGTTGCTCTGTAACTTCGAGCCAGGTGTGGATGTTTGCTCTAAAGGAGTCATTCACGTCATCTTGTGTTTCTCGTCTCATCAATACTGTTTATTAACTGTTTATAATTTGGTCTGTATTGTTTATTGTCCCTCAGATTTGATTTGACACAGAGGTGATTAGATTGATGACCATGTGGATTAATTTCTTAAATAATCTCAAAACTCAAGGAGAGTTTTTCAAATCACTTAGTCTGACTTTCAGACAAAGAAGCAAAGGATTATTTGACACTTTTACTTTTTATGATTTTAGCTTTAAAAAATAAATAAATACAGCAGTGTGACTCCTGTCAGTGATTACAGCTCCAGTCTAATTTCCTAAACCAATTACTGGCAGTAGAATGCAGCAGGATAACCAATTTGAAGTTATATCTAGCTGTTGCCTATTCCTCATTTGAATACGAGGAGCCACCGCACAGTAACAACATTATTACACGGTGCTGGTAAATAGAATAGTAAATTTAGATTTTGTCATTTTGGCTGAGCCCTGAAAAAGCTATTTAACGTGAAGTGTTTTTGAGTGTGCATGCCCCGGTCTCTTGGCTGGCGAAACAGGAAAAACAATGCCAGCTGACGGATTGATGCTCCATTAGGGGGTTAATCAGCGATGCCGTAGGTGCCAACTGGCCCTTGTCTGCGTTTGAAGTTAAATTGAGTCATGGAGGAAGAGGAGGGTTGTGGTTCTTCACAAACAGACAAATTACTTTAAATGAAAATGTTCGAACATCGCTAAAAATACAGCTTAGTAACATTAATACAATTTTGTTTCTGTTTGAATGCGCCTGGACATTATTTAGAGAGTGCACCGATGACCTCCCCGCAGGTTTGTTGGTTTGTGACGGTGCCATCTCCTCGCTCACTGAACTTTTGACCTCTGGCCTCTTGCCTGTCCAACCCGTGACCCGTCTGCGCTCAGTCCAGAGCTGAGTGAACGATTTCTCCTTCCTGTCTCCGAACGCCCATCGCTCACCAAGTTTCTTTGGACTTGCTGATAACTGTCTACTGTATCAGCGCGTCAGAATATCTGCCCGGAGATTAATTTTTCACCCCGTTCATCGGTGTATGGATTTCATGACATTTGCATAGCGGCTGCTCGTTTGCAAGGAAGCGAGGAACATTGTTAATGACCCCCCCCCCCCCCCCCCCCCCCC